AGTCTTTTTGATATTGCTGGATAATTTATAACATTAAATTCAACTTTTGTAAAAGAAATTTAAAAGAGAAAATTTTTTCAAAAATGTTGTTATTGAAAATGAACGTAGGAGAGAGGAAAGAACAAGAATAAGGAAAGAAAGATCTCAGTTCTTTGAGGGCTATTATTGCTAAACGGAGGAAGTGTGGTACGGTTCCGAAAACGACGACGAACGAAGAATTTGATAAATGTGGTGAAACTACTGAATGACCAAATGCTGCTGTGTTATCTGCAGAATTAAAAAAACTAATGAAAAATTTTTGTATGATTTTATAATGATTCTTTTTTTGCCTCATTTTTCTGCCCACTATATTTCCAACTGTTATTATTTTTCTGGTACTTTGTTCGCTGACTCATCTGCAGTCATGAAATTTTTCTGACTTAAATGATGACGAGGATGGCGGTGACGGTAGTATACATGTGTGTTTACATGAATCATGTATTATTATTGGGTGACAAGTTACTGATTAGTGCTGAAAAACTGATGGTATTTACTGAGAAAGTTCCTGTTTTTGTTGGTGTTGGCACCAAAAATTTTTTTTTTTAAATTTTACAGAATGCGAAAATGAAAAGTTTTATTATTATTGTTTTATGACTGATTGTGTGTTCTTGTTGTTTTTATGTTACTTTAGAGAAAACTTAAGTATTGTTTTTGACTTTTTGACAATGTTGACGGTATCGTGCTCAGTAATGCACTTGCTGATGCTGTATAAAGCAGAGGCAAAAGCTAATATTGGATAATGTGTGATTTTTCAAAACTATTTCTGTAAAGTTGGTAACATATATATGCTCTGACAATTTGACGCTTATTGGCTCGTTAACAGCGGCAGTGATCAATGGTCGGACATCAGCTATCGCTAATGTTTTGTGGACAATCGCTACGGTTCCGCCGTCTTTGTGGCCCTTAGTTTTGATGCTGTTGTTGTCATCAACTCTGTTAAGGTAATCGTAATAAACATTCAGACAGCTCTTTTTACGGTTACCTTACCTTAGCCGAAATTACAACTACCAAGTGCTGTTAACATGGTTTCTTCTTTGCTTTCGTTGAGATACCTTTTTTCTCTGGTAAACATAAACGGAATATTTAAGTTTTGGTTGCATGATATGAATAAACAAGAATTTACCAAAGTGTCAAAAACTAATCATCTGAAATGAAAAATGAAGAAGGACCGAGCAGTATTGGTTAAAATTGTGATAGATATTAACGTAGGGCAAAAATAATTTTAGAAAATTTGAAGAATGAAGGATAACTATGAGTTTTCTAATTTTATTTTCTATTCATGCTTCTGCAGCCTATGTTTTCACTACACCAAACAATTTTTAAGTCCAAAAATATTCAAAAGTGATTTCTTATTAGTTTCAAAAAAAATTTTTTTGAACATTCTAATCTTGTAAACTTGTCTGATTTTTCAAGTTCCCTGAAAGCAAAAAAAACACTTCTGATTTTTTCTTCAAAAATTTTATTCAGAAATATGCAGAAGCGCTGGAAAAGCTTTTGTGGTGATATATCTTTCAAAAATGTCTGCGGTAAAAAGAAGAACGGTTTTTTTTCTTTATCTTTTTTCTTTTCATTTTTGTTTTTTTATAGCAGTTCCATTTTTACACCTCATTTAATAGTTCTTCATATAATACTTGCTAAAGCTGTCGCTGTTTTCTTGTCGTTCTCCTTATTAAAATGCCATAATTGAGTGATTTTGTCCTATAACTAATTTCGAACGACATTCCATCAAGTTGACATCAGCAGCGACAACCGTCTGACTGACAGTAAGTATCTGGACTGCTGCTTCGTGCTATATAGCAAAACTCAAACAAACATTTTTGTTGCTTTTGACTGCAGCCAAATTTATCTACTAATACTCAATCTATCACTTCTATTTTTTTCTTTCCTTACCTTTATCATTTTTTATATAAAGAATAAGAAGAAATAAGTAATAATTTGTTTACATTGTTTAAGTTACATTTGGCGTATTTTCCGAAAATACACTCATTTTTTCAAAGCCTCGGCTGGATTTGTCAGACAAATTAAATTTTTATTAAAAGAAATGGCAATGCAAGGAAAGTGTAACCTTTTGGTAGATTTGGTCAATTTTTAAGATTGAATATTAATAGGCAGAACATGCGAGAGTGGCAAAGAAAATCAGCGTTATTAATGAAAGTTTTATTATTATTATTATTATTATTATTATTATTATTATTGTACTGTTGTTATCATTAATATTATTATTTCTTAACATCCGTAAAGATATTGAACGATTTGTATAATGCATGCCTGGAAAAAAAAGACCCATTTGATAGAAACTCCTAAGCTGAAGAAAAAAAATAAATGCAATACTGTAACTAGTTTGAACAATTAAATTACCCGCAGTTTTCAAATAACGTTAAAGTCATTACGAACGACATGAAATATCAGAAAAATGATTTGCCTTTGCCGAACACTTCTGCTATACCATAAAAGAAAGATGAAAAAAAGTAGTAGAAGAAAATATCACGATATGATTTGGTTTCAATTTTTAGTAGCAGATCATACCGCTGCTTGATTTAGCAAAAACTGAGCACTCTAACTAATCAAACTTTAACAGCAATCGTTTGACTAGCTAATAGGGCAAATTATCTATAAATTAACTGTTGCAGGTCGCATCTTAGACAATAACCGTTAAGTGGCAACAAAATTGGCAATAACAGCTAGTGGACAACGTGCAAGGACCGAAGAAATTCTTGAGCTTTCAAGTCGTTTTTTCGTCGTTCCAACAGTGAGAGAATAGATGATCCTTCAAATTAAAATTTCCGTATTAGTTGAGATTGCAAAGTAAACGCAGTTGCTCTTCACATGATAAAATTGGATAAAAATAAAACCGACAGGTAAGCTAAATGCAGGCGCACCTTTATTCTGCGGATGTATTAAAATCAAGTTGAACTGCTTCAATGCAGTCCCAGCATTCGGTCCGTATCCGGGGACATCGTTTAGTTGCAAAAATGCTTCACCAGCAAAATCGTTGGCTCTCAAGAAATCATGATCCATCACGATAAAATGGATCATACCCAACTCAAAATCACGTGTAGACATGTGGCTAAAGTGTAAACAATTTTAAAAAATACTTAATCTTTATTTAGATGTTCTAAGACAGTAAACATACGCAAAAAATAGATATTTCTGAATTTGTCTTTAAAATCCAACTGAAAGAAGTGTAACGCTTCTTAAACTAATTCTTGGCGCAAAATGCAAAAATGATAACACTAACGACTGTTCGCATTTTTTATTTGCCAATACTAATCATAATTTTTTTGGAATGAACTTACAACTCGAAAGTCTCATCAAATGTCGGGCTCAATGTTTTGTTAATAATTCGAGTCTTGAAAGTTGGGGAGTTGCTGAATTTTATCCGGGGAACAAGTTCAATGACAACAAACGGGTCGCTAAGCCCGTTCGAATCCAGTGGAATAACTTGTTTTGCTCCAATAACTGTAAATTTACACTCATACGTTCTGTAATACTTTTTTCCTGTCTTTAAAAACTTCATTGAAGTATATTATGACAAATCAGTAGATATTGTTCAAGTAAAACAATCAAATAAAAAAGCATTTCAACTAGCCATTTAAGAACTAGTTAAAAATAAAAACATTACCATCTACAACAAGCGTTTCTGAATTAGCATTATAATAAGCACGAACGTTCAGAATGCCGTATTCACAGGTTATAGCAGACAACTGAAAAAAACTTCGATAACTTATCCATCTTATTGTATAATGCCATAAAATTATAACAGTTAGTGGTCGATTTGTATATTGTCAATAAATTCCTCTTCGTTACGTAAAAAAAGCAAGCATTTAAATTATTTCTGTTACGCTTCTCCCAACTTATTTCTTTTAACTTTTCTAATTATTTTCACGCTCTGTACAGCTGCACAATTATGTCTCAAAACTAGAAGGGATCAGTAAGAAAATGTCGAATTCTAAAGGTTTTTAAATTAATTAGTAAGGTTTAGTCAGAAGCATTTTGTTTTGAAACAAACAAAAAAAAAAAGTAAAAAAGATTAGATATTACAAAAAAGCATGGTAAAAAACTTCCGCCGATCAGGCTTCATAAAACAATCCAAATAACAAAACGATTTTCATGCTTTCTAATTAAAACATCAGTTTGACAAGAGATTTGAAAATAGAAACAACGATATCTTTAAAGCAACGTATTATCAAGCTTTATTGTTATACATCTACAGAATGAGGCGAATAAGTAAATCATATAATCTGTCTTGTTTGAAAATCCTATTCACTATCCAACATAAACAAATTTTCTTGAAACATTTAGGAAAGAAAAGAAGGTTGAATTTTGCCGTGTTAGAAATCTGTAATTAATAAATAAATAAACAGATAAATAGATAAATATATAGTCCGTCTCATTCCCAATTTGGTGTGAAAATTTTTGCAGGCAGAGAAGCCCTCTTCTGGAGGAATTCCAACGGTTTTGGCTCAATGCCACTGTGTA